GCTTCTGTTCATTTATTTTAATAACAGTGCCATTGCAGTTTTGAATGCTTCTTTTTATGTTGTTTTTCATGGTTTTTGGTTTGTTTTGTAGCTTTTTTCTTTCTATTATGGAGGAAGTAGATCATACATAGGAATGATTAAATGTACAAATTTACTTTAATCACTGAACTCTAAAAATGTTCTTAGTTATGTTAAAGAAGTGTGACAATATTTAATTATAGGACTGTAGTTTTAGTTTCTTCTTAGCTCTTATTTGTAATGCTCGTATTTTTCATAAAATCTTTGGGATTTTAAGAATAGTACAGAGGCTGGTATATTTGGTATGAAAATATAAAATGTTATGAGTCATTTCTAAGTACTGCTTTGTGCCAGAGACCAACATATAAAAATTATAAGCTGTTTTCTGGTTTGGTTTCCCTAGGTTTCATCAGTTTACTGTTACAAAAGGAGTCTTTTTCAAATCAGTCCCATGTGTTTTCAGTTCTTTCCTTGAATGCCGTCATGGAATTTTTTTTCCACCTTAAATGCTCATCCACTTTTTTTTTTTAATTTATTTAATTTATTTATTTTTGGCTGCATTGGGTCTTCATTGCTGCGCTTGGGCTTTCTCTAGTTGCAGTGAGCGGGGGCTACTCTTTGTTGTGGTGCACGGGCTCCTCATTGCAGTGGCTTCTCTTGTTGTGGAGCATGGGTTCTATGTGCGTGGGCTTCAGTAATTGTAGCACACAGGCTTAGTTGCTCTGCGGCATGTGGGATCTTCCTGGGGGGGGGGGGGGGGGGGGGGCAATTCCCCACCATGGCGCGCCGTCCTCTCATTGTGGTGACTTCTCTTGCTGCGGGGCATGGGCTCTAGGCACGCGGGCTTCAGTAGTTGTGGCTCGTGGGCTCCAGAGCACGCTCCCAGCAGCTGTCGTGCATGGGCCTAGTTGCTCCGCGGCATGTGAGATCCTCCCAGACCAGGGCTGGAACCCGTCCCCCCCGCATTGGCCGGCAGACTCCCAACCACTGTGCCACCAGGGAAGCCTTGATCCACTTTTTTTAACAGTACCTGTGGTTTTTACATATGCTCATAAATCCAGACAGAAAAGAGGTTTTTAATTTCATACTTTTTTAGAGTTAATGAGAGTTGTTATTTTTAAATAGTTTAAATTTGTGTGCTTCCAAAAGCCTATACAGTTGACTCTTGAACAACATGGGTTTGAACTGTGCAGGTCCCCCTATATGTGGATTTCTCAATAGTAAATACTACAGTATTATAGGGCTGAATCTGAGGATGCAGAGGGCCAACTCTGAAGTTATACTCAGATTTTTGACTGTGTGGAGGGTCGACTCCTCTAACCCTGGAGTTGTTCAAGGGTCAACTGTACTTTTTAGCAGGCATTAAAATAAAATCAGGATGGGGATTTCCCTGGTGGTCCAGCGGCTAAGACTCTGTGCTCCCAATGCAGGGGGTCCAGGTTTAATCTCAGAGAACTAGATCCCACATGCCGCAGCTAAGTGTTCGCATGCCGCAACTAAAGATCCTGCGTGCTGCAGCTAAGACCTGGTACAGCCAAATAAATAAATGTTAAAAAATAAAAATAAAACCAGGGTGGCTAGAGTAGCATTAATGTATCTCAGTTCCTTTATCCAGGACAAGATGAAACCATAGAAGAAAGGAGCAAGCCATCCAGGGGTTCAGGGTGTGAATGGGTAGTCTGGGCTGAAAGTGTAATACATACCAGAGGTTTCTGAACCCTGATGTGTAGCTGTAGCCTAGTGATTAGGGAGTTCGGATTGTACAGTAGCATAGAATTGCTGATAATGCTTGTTAGAAATAGCATGAAACTGTACTTGAACTTCACATTAATGGTATAGTTATACAATTAATTTTGATAAAATCTGTTTGTTTTGATTCCTGTTAAACAAAGTAGAGGTGTTATTGAAGTAACAATTCTCTGTGTCATTTTTAAAATATGGAATATTGAGGTGGGGAACTGATTATAAAAGCAAGACCTTAGGTAAGTGGTTCTAACTTTCTTTATGTCATCAAAATCTGAGGAAAACTATTCTGTCATCAGCAAAATGCATGTATGGGAGTTCCCTGGTGGTCTAGTGGTTAGGATTTGGTGCTTTCACTGCTGTGACCCAGGTGCGGTCCCTGGTCAGGGAACTGAGATCCCACAAGCTGTGTGGCATGGCCAAAATCTTTTAAAAAAATTTTTAATGCACAGATATGCAAATTTGCGTACAATTTCAGAGATTCACAGACCTGCCCTAAGTCACTTGTCTCATTTTTGGACAGTTTTGTTCTTTTTAGTTCATGGCTACTTGAATTTGTGGCAAAGAAGTTGATGCTAATGAATTGAAGTTATAGCTTTAATTTCCATGAGAGACGCTTAGCTGTACTTACACCACAGTCACAAATATAAAATTTAACTATTTTGTGTGTGTAAAAAAATACACCCACATGTATATACATGCCATTGATTATAACATGATTGGATAAGGTCATTTTAATTAATCACTGGAAAAACAACTCAAAATGCCTAAGTGGATGTTATAGCATCTTTGGGAATAAGGAAAAACATACTATCATTATTCTCCTTTTGGTATTTTCATCTTATTTTAAATTATGATTTCTTGAAATATGGCGATGCTGAATTTAAAATTCAGTTTAATTTAAAACTGATTTTATTCTTGGAACATCTCAAAATATCTCCTTGAAATAATTGTAGAAATCTCAGGAGTTCCAAAACTTTAGTATGTGGTCACTGGTTCATCTAGGAGAGAGGGATGGAGAATGATGAGCATTTGCTTCCTGTAAAGTGCACACATTTATATATATAGTATATTAATTCTAGTAATGAATGAGAGGTTATAATGTAAACATCAGTATATTTTGGGGGAGGGCATTTGTTTTGTTTCTTTTTTTTTTAGAGATTTATTATTTATTTTATTTTTGGCTGCGTTGGATCTTTCATTGTGGCGCACGGGCTCTTCGTTGCAGCACAGGCTTCTCTTTAGTTGTGCCGTGCGGGGTTTTTTCTTCTCTGGTTGTGGCGCACAGGCTCCAAGGTATGTGGGCTCTGTAGTTGTGGCATGCGGGTTCCAGCGCACTTGGGCTCTGTAGTTTGCGGCACACAGGCTCTCTAGTTGAGGCGCACAAGCTCAGTAGTTGTGGCACATGGGTTTAGTTGCCCTGCGACATGAGGGATGTTAGTTCCCTGACCAGGGAGCGAACCCATGTCCCCTGGATTGTAAGGTGGATTCTTTACCTCTGGACTACCAGGGAAGTAAGTCCCTGTTTTTTGTTTCTTAACTTTAGATGTACATAGTAATAATCTTGGTGGGATTTAGCAAAAAATAAAATAAAATTTTATATCAGTGGTTCTCAGTCTCAGTTGTCTTGACATCTTCTTAAAGACTTATATACTCTTTCGAACCCTCAAGTTTACTTTTTTTTTCTTTATCTCACAAGTTTACATGCATGGGGTATGACTTAGTGTTATGTTAACATGGTTACAGAGTGGATACAGAATAAATATGCTTCATGGAGTCTAATGCTTCCATTACCTGTGTGTCCCTTTTGTTATTTTATGATGAACGTTACAGGCAAACTTCTGTGGACCATCTTTGAAAAACACATCCATAGACTACAGCAGTAGCATTCAAACTGTTCATTGATTTATTTATTGAGTTGGAGCATGTTATGATATGCTCGAGTATGTAACAAATCATATAATCCTTCATGGCTTAACATAGTGCTTAAACTCAGTAAATAGTTATTGATTGAATAAATGGTATATATATTTTAAATGATTATGATATTCCAGATAGAGCAGTGAGTTCTGACTCTGATTTTGAAACCTGCCCTCTTTCTCCCGTGAGTATGACAGGGCACAGTTGTGAAATGTTTAAGAGAAAATTTATGAAGAAAATAAACATGTGTGCCACATTTTATCCTTAAACTGATTTTGAAATCGAATACATAATGGCACATTCACATCCACAAAATGTGGTCATCACTTTAAGTAGCATAAACAAATAAAATAAAACTTCATTTTTTAATGGAGTATACAAATACATTTAATTTGCACAGTTCTGTACTAGCTGTTTCTAAGATCACTAAATTGTTTAAAACCATGAATAACAGCAGTTGAAACCCATATATAGCACTTCTAATATTCTGATGTGCTAAACAAAACATCTAGGTAATATGGGAATTTCCACTATTTGTGTGTGTCTGTGCCTAGTGGAAATTTTACAGGGATGCTGATGTCTATCAAAGGAGTCTTAAAGATTCACTTGCCACTCTGGAAAAGAGTACAATGCTGTAGGAATAAAGTATCAGTATTCTTGTCACCAGGGCAAACTTTTCCACTAGAGATCATTCCTAAATGTACCTTAATTGAGGGTCTTCTGAATTTGAGGCGAGAATTATAGCATATATCCATATTTCAGGGAGTAGATTGATAATGTAACTAGCACAAAGAAATGCTTGTATGGAATGAATCTGGGCTATCCAATACATTTTAAGTCCTCTGGGAACAAAGCCCTTTGAAACTGAGTTGATCTGGGTGTAAAATAAAATGTAAGCCTTTGTCCTTAGATATGGTAGGTGCTGACTAGGCCTTAGCTAACAGGACTTCCATATCACTGGCTAGGAATCTATCCTAAGAGAAAAGCAAGGAACCCCAGGAATGAAAGGTAAGGAAAGAAGCCTTGTCTTCAAGTGCTTCTGTAGGTCTTCTTGTGGTAGCATTTCTGACAGAGTATGGACTATTTTTCATTACCAGAGGTTATTACCTAGTTAGTTTATACCTGAAGAAAATGTACCTGTTTACTTTGAAAGAAAAAAAATATATGGCTTAACTCTTCTGATAATTAAATAGATTGAGCCTATATGCAGTTCAAGGCCAGTAATAATATGTGTAATATGATCAGTTAAATAGAACCAGCAGTAAAGAATCATAACAACTAACCTTGTTGTCCATTATTTTTCTTTTGCTTGGCCTTAGGGTTTTGACCCACCACATCAAAGTGACACAAGAACTATTTACATAGCCAACAGGTTTCCTCAGTATGGCCTTTACACACCTCAGAAATTTATAGATAACCGCATCATTTCATCTAAGGTAAGAATTAACACTTTTATTACTAAAACTGTGGGTTATGTACTATTTTGTTTTAAAAGGTGATTTGTTTGTATTTATATCCTTAAAAATTCAAGAAAATGGTGGTTGGTAGATTTATCTTAACCAAAATTGTGAACAGTAAAATAAAAAGTTTCTGGTTGCTAATATCAGGTGGCCAGTATGCCCCAAATTACCCTTAGTTGCAATTAAACTAAGGAACTAATATTTATACCATGTGCCAGACACTGTATTAGGTACTTCTCATATTATTTAATTCTTAAAACAACTTTAAGATAGCTTTAACAAAGTGTTGTTATACTCATTTTATATCAGTTTTTTCAATTGAAGTGCAGGGAAGTAATTTACCCAGGGATGAGATCGGAGTTTGAACTCAGTTCTGTGTGACTTTAAAGCCTGACTTCCTCCAGTTTTATCATTCTTCTATAAACATTTTATAGTACCAAGGAACCACTTCACTTTTACATATTTTTCCTTGGTTCATTTTTTCCTATGGCATTTTTAAGATGTCTTAGCATTATTCTATAATCTTCAATTTCAAAATAGACTATCTGATAGACGCTTCTCTCATGATGGAAATGTTTTCCATGCTGTCTAATATGATAGCCATTAGCCACATAGGGCTGTGCAGGCCTTTAAATGTGGTAATGTAACTGAGGAACTTAACTTTTAATTTAATTTTAATTTTTTTTTAATTGTCAATAGCCACATGTGACTAGTGGCTACCTTATTGGACAGTGCAATTATAGAGGATGTGAGTCAGAAACTGAGGGTAAGGTTCTCTCTGAGCATAGCTATTGCTTAATAGACCACCTTAAGAAGCATCTTTGTATCGCTCCTTCCCTCTCTTCCAGGGCGACTAATATTTTCTCTCTAATCCTGATCTCATTTTTCTTGAAGATGTTGTTTTAGGCCAATGGTTCCTTTTCCCTGTTCCTTTTTTCCAGCCTTTACATTATTTACATACGCAACACACGCATTACTGACATCTCATTTTGGACAGTGGTTCTAGAGGGCAGGAAGGGGAAATATCAGAATCTAGGGTAATAAAGGAGCTTTAGATTAATGATACAGTTCTTAGTAAGTGATGCAAGAAATAAAAGTTCTTCTTGAAAAAAAATTTTAAAACACTGGGTATAATTTATATACAATAAAATTCACTAATTTTAAGTGTATAATTTGATAAGTTTTGACAAATGTGTAACATGTGACCGCTGTCACCAAGATACAGAATATATTTGTCAGTCCAAAAAGTTAGTAACCAGTCCCCCTCCTCCTCACCTTTAGCACTAGCAGCTGATCTGCTTTCTTTAACTATAGTTTTGTCTTTTCACAATGTCATATAAATACAGTCATACAGTAGGAGTCTTTTGTGTCCGACTTATTTTCACTTAACACAGTACTCTTGAGATTCATCCTTGTTGTTGCAAGTATCAGTTTCACTAGTTCATTTCCTTTTTAGTGCATAGTTTAGCTGTCAGTCTAGGTTTGGAGAGTTTATGTCCTGAATTTGGGTCATTTTCCTTGCATGGTTTCGCAATCAGTATTTTCCCATCAATTTCCAGCCACTTTTCTAGTCCTGAACTCTGAATCTCTGTGATATTTTGTTGATAAGGGGGTAGTTTTCCCCCACTGTTTGGCTGCTATAGCTGTGAGAGTTGGATATTATCTCCAGACTAAGAAGCCATAGTTTATCATTCATATTCCTTCCATTTGTAATTTTTTTGAAATTAAACTCTCTTCCAGTTTCTGTCTATATTTTGGACATGTTCCAGAATTTTAAATAGTTTGTTTTAATCTAGTTTTCATAATTCTTATCTGCTAGGAGTTCACAGTCTGCCAATACTGGAAGCTGAGTGTCCTGGAGAACTTCTGAGATTAACTATCTTTATGACTTCTCATATGCAGCAGTATGAAGTTTAATGTTTTTGACCACAGTTTCAAAAATGTAGATATATAAATAAACATTGCCCTTTTTTCACACACTTGGAGACTTTCTCATTATTCCCTTATTACTTCCTTATTATTCCATTACCACTTTTTAAAACTTCCAAACCAGATTACCTGCTATTCCATGAATTCATGTTGAACTTCCCTACCACTGTGACTTAGCTATGATTTTGTATTGATAACTGCAGTTTTTTAAATGTAGATTATATGTTTTTGCAGAGAATGTGTTTTTGACCAGAATTTCAAGAATGTAGATATTTATATAGACAGTGTCTTTTTTTTCCTGACCATAAATGAGGCTGGCTTCTCATTGTTCCCTTTTTACTACCTTTCTACTCCCCTATTATTTCCCTAAACTCCTTTCAGACTGTATATCTTCTATACCACAAAGCCACGATCAACTTCCCTCCTCGCTTCCTTTGTTCATTCTGTCTTTCCTTCCTGAAATGTTCTCCCTCTGTTTGCCCCCTATTTTCAGCCTGCTGAGTGTTCCTCTTAAAGCCCGTGTCAAATGTGACCTCCTTCATTAAATTTTTCTTTCTAATTGACTTCTTGAATTGCCTTCCCATTGACTTCTTTGTCTATTCCTTCTTTTAATTTATCTTTGAATATAGCTATTGATATATTTTTCTTAATCTCCTCTATTTAAACTTCTTCTCTTTGTTCCTCTTATAGTGAGTCTTACACATTGTAGATGCATGGTATGTCTTTAATTTAATTTGCTATAGTAACTTCCTTATCTTAAATTTAAATTTCTTTGCAATATACCCTGAGAAAACCATAATTCAAAAAGAGTCATGTACCACAGTGTTCATTGCAGCTCTGTTTACACTAGCCAGGACATGGAAGCAACCTACGCGTCCACTGACAGATGAATGGGTAAAGAAGATGTGGCACATATATACAGTGGAATATTACTCAGCCATAAAAAGAAACGAAATTGAGTTATTTGTAGCGAGGTGGATGGACCTAGAGTCTGTCATACAGAGTGAAGTAAGTCAGAAAGAGAAAAACAAATACTGTATGCTAACACATATATATGGAATCTAAAAAAAAAAAAAAGTGGTTCTGAAGAACCTAGGGGCAGGACAGGAATAAAGATGCAGATGTAGAGAATGGACTTGTGGACACGGGGAGGGGGAAGGGTAAGCTGGGACGAAGTGAGAGAGTGGCATGGACATATATACTCTACCAAATGTAAAATAGATAGCTAATGGGAAGGAGCCGCATAGCACATGGAGATCAGCTCTATGCTTTGTGTCCACCTAGAGGGGTGGGATAGGGAGGCTGGGAGGGAGACACAAGAGGGAGAGGATATGGGGATACATGTATATGTATAGCTGATTCACTTTGTTATACAGCAGAAACTAACACACTATTGTAAAGCAATTATACTCCAGTAAAGATGTTAAAAAAAAAATTTCCTTACAGAAGGTTTAATTTTATAACCATGTTTTTGTTTTCTTACTAATGTCAGACCTTAGGAGGAAAAAAGTCAATGATAAAGTTGTATACATAGCTATAGAGAAGGTATACTTCTAGTTCATTTTTCTTGACTGTTATTATACAATAATTAAAATAATTTTAAAGCATAATGAATTATTTTTCTTAGAAGTTTTTTCATGTGTCTTAATATTATTCTACTAGAGTGCCTCCTCTATGTGCTACAGGACAAATGGAGAATTTAGACTCATTCAATCTATTAATGTTTGTATTTCAGAAAACCCGAAAACAATAATTCCTAAACATTTGTAAGCTAGCTTTCTTAAGAAATTTTTATTTATTCTCACTTTTTCCATTGTATTATTGAGCTAGCCAAAGACAGCATCCTGAAACCAATTAATTTACTTTATTACCAACTTATATAGTTGCTCTTTTCAAGATTCTGAAAGATAAAATATATTGTCACTATTATATAGATTGATGTAAACATAGAACATCGTCAAGTTAATTCCTATAAAGCTTTATACATTTGATCTGGTGCTGAGGAAGTTGCATGAAAATACTATGATCCCTGTAGGGACAACTGCCTTTTTACCCCAGTGAAGATCAACTGGCAATGGTTTAACCCAGAATTACCACCTCATATGCACACATTGAGCACTGACTTCTTCTGGTTCCAGGAAGTCTCTACCTCTCTTCTCTCTAGAGCCTTGAACATAGTTCCCAGTCCCAGATTCTAGAGCCACTGGTGCTACCACTACCACAGGTAAATATGTTTCAGGTATCCCAGATTAGAACTGAAAATATAATTTCACCTAAGAAAGGAAGGTGTTAGGCATTGTACTATTCTTTATATACCCTTGGGTCAAATAGGCTTTTGTGGGCTCTTCTGGGAACCTAACCGTATTTATAAAATTGTTCATATGTGAAAGGATGTTTGAGGTCTCAAAAAACTGATTAAGGGAATTCCCTGGCGGTCCAGTGGTTAGGATTCCTCTCTTACTGCCGAGGGCGCAGGTTCAGTCCTAGTCAGGGAACTAAGATCCTGCAAGCCGCACAGCGCAGCCAAAAAAAAGAAAAAAGAAAAGGAAAAAACTGATTAAGAAGTAAATTTCTGACATACCAAAATTCGGAAATTAGAACCGTCTTCCATTGCACCAGAGAAAATCTTGAATTGGTCAGTGGTTGAATTGACCAATGGTAATTGGTCAGTAGTTGAATTGACCAGTGGTTATTGGTCAGTAGTTGAATTGACAAATGGTTATTGCCTGACATCAGGAGAGTTATCTGGAAAAAAAATTCTTTTTCCAACCATATTTATTTATCTATTCTGCTAAAGTTTTGATCTCTAACTGTGCTCTAGTGTAACTGCGATAGAGCAGTAAATAAAACAATGTCTCTAGGGATCTTAGATTCTACTGAGAGAATGGACATAGGGTAAAGTAACAGTGCTGTGACGTGTTTCCCTGTTTAATGCATAAAGTTGTGTTGTGAATAGTGAGCGGCACAAGTAAAATTTGTACGATATTACCCTGCCCCCAAAATATAGGCTTATAAACAGATGAATAATACAACAACAGACACACAGCAGTTAATATGAGCCAGGGTCTGTTGTAAGTGCTTCGTAAATATATTAGCTCATTTAATTTTTATAACAACCCTATACAGTATGATTGTTATTATTGTCCTCATTTTATTGAGGTACAAAGAGTTTAGGTCAAAGGTCACTGAATGACCCTGGATTAGGATTTAGGCCACAGCAGTTTAACCCTTTACTATCTATGTTCGTAACCATTATACTCTGCTGTCTTTAAAAATTGACATTGTGACAGATTTTCATATCCTTTATGAGATTTTCTTGATGGTTATACCAGTGATCACTTACCTAAAGTAATTTTTAATCTTTTTCACATTCTAGGTTATTTTTCCATATCCCATGCTTAATGGAATAACTGAATAATTATACCATTTCCTCTGTTTCTGAATAAATAAAATATAAAATAAATAAATATAATATAAATTTAATAAAATTTAAAATAAATTGAATCCAGTGTTAGCATTTCTATCAACTCTTAATTCATTTTCAGCATTAGGTTCAGTCTTGTGTAACCAAAAACCAAAATCAGTTATTAAAATATTATTTTAGATCTGCCATCTCCAACTTCTAAAAAACCAAGAATTTAATAGCAAAATTCATGAGTTCCAGTTTATCTCATTTTTAAAAATTATACTAAAATTGCCAATAAATAGTAAAAGACAGAAAAAAAATAGAATAAAAGCCCTGAAACTCTAAAAACCAGATAGTTTTTGTAGCATTGAGAGTTACATGAATTTGTCTAAGGGCTTAGTAAATCTGATACTACTTTTCTTGTTATTATATGTATATAGTATATATTATTTTAAAATATTAACTTATTGATCTTTTTTTTTCTTTTTTTTCCTTTTTTTTTTTTTTAGTATACTGTGTGGAATTTTGTTCCAAAAAATTTATTTGAACAATTCAGAAGAGTGGCAAACTTTTATTTTCTTATTATATTTTTGGTTCAGGTAAGCTTTATCACTTCATAAATTGTTAAGTTTATAGACATGGGTTCTAAAAATATATCTTCAGGGAAAAGTTATATTGCATTCTAAATCATTTGACTGTGGGACCTTTTTTTTTTTTGCAGAGCTTCCCCATTGTGTTCACTGAATACAATGATTTAAACCACATCAAGATGTTTGAAAAATAGCCAGTGAATTTTAAGATTAATTGTATTTTGTTTTATCACTGATTGCTATGGTGCTGATAATCATAATCAAAGCCAAGAAAATAACATCATCCTTTCAGATGTTCTGCCTCAGACATAAATATTTTGGCTTTTAATAATACAGCACATGTTTTTGGCACATTTCTGCCTATGGAACCATCTTTGTACAAAGTAAATCTTTCTTTGGCTTTTTTTTAATTTAAATTTTACTTTTATTTAAAAATTTTTTTAATTATAATTTTTAAGAATCCCCATGAATATTGATTTTTCTCCAGGAGACTGTTTTCTTAACCTAAATCTATGTTCATTATAAGCTGTTTGACAGTTTCTTGATTTTCACATTGTGCTTTTTTTCCTAATGTCAAAATATCAAGAGAACAGCTTATGAAACTTGAGTATAAATCAAGATTTAAAATAAGTGTCATTTTCTTTTAAAGAGGTTATTCTTTTCTGATAATACCTTGGCAGTGTCCTCCAGTGTGGCATTGAATTTTTGTATAAACTCTGAACTTTTCTCTCCATAGAACCTGGGCTTTCAAAAGAAAGAAACTTGTGAAGTAGTCACTGTAAAGCTTGAGGAAACTTTTTTTTTTAATTGCTTTGCTTCATGAACAGAAAAGGCACTTCTGATTTTTTTCATCAATAGAACTTCAGCTTGGTTTAGTTGGAAAAATGAGAAATTTATACTTATTATGTCCATGTAACATGCATTTGTGAAATTACTAGCTAAGATCAGGAATTCATTTTGTGTGTGGAGTAGAACAAATTTAATTGGCCTACCCAGAGTAAAGGAATATTAATAAATCGTTAGACCCATGTTCTAAATAACCAAATATAATTACTACAAATATTTCTTTTCCAGCAGTTTATTGAAACCTCAGTTGTATGATTTAGATAATTGCAGCAGCATTTTCCAAGTTGTACCCTTCTGACTCCACTAGGTGTAACAAAATCACCTGTAGAAAGAAACCCTTTCCCTAGTCCCATTTCTTGTTCTCTCTCCCTAAGTGGTGAGTTTATGCTGGATCCCAGGGTAAAAACTGACAGACTTTACAGCATTTCTCAGGATGGGCAAAGAAATGTGAACTGAGATTCTGAGCAGCTTTAGCTCCCCTCCAAGGCAAATACCGAGGAAGACCTTAAGTACTCTGTGTTAAGAAAGCAGAGACTGAGTCCACCCTAGCAGTATTTGTGGGTATGCAATAGATTTAGATATTCTACTAACCCCATATAAAAGCCATCAAAGTGAACTTGTGAAACTGTGAACTAAACTACACTCACTGCATAGTCTCTCTCTCATGTTATTTTTTCATCTGGACCATGATACATGTTTTGTATAATGTTTTCAGATTTCCCAATAATTATGAGATTCTAGATGTTAATAGTGTGATGTGTACAATATAAAATATACTCTGCATTCTCTGTTTTTTAATCCAGCTTATGATTGATACACCTACCAGTCCAATTACCAGTGGACTCCCGTTATTCTTTGTGATAACAGTAACTGCCATAAAGCAGGTATGAAATACTTTGTATTGTTATTTTTCTCCCAAGTCATTCAGAAGTTGCTTAATATTTCCACTCCAAAGTAAGATTTATTGTTGTGAAAATAATTTTCATAAGAAGAAATTTATTTGATTCTGCCTATAGTAAAATTAAACTAAATTAAGCCATCGTTATCAGGTACCTGGTGACTGATGGGATGATTACAATTGTTAAAATATGTCGTTCCTTTGGTACACCTAGGGAGCATCCAAAAACAAGCATTTTATATGTACAAACCAATTCATATATGAAACAGATTAATTATTATAATCATCTTTGCAGAGTTTGGTCGTATCTAAAGGAAATACAGTTCAAAGGGGATATGTTTATAAGGAGTGGAACATGTACTTCTGGCACAAACATTTCTGAATAAAAATTATATAGTGTTTTCCTACTTTTTACAACTTCCTCTGGTGAGGTCGATTTTTATGTAAAATAGTATTCTAGGGGAAATAGCTTCAACCAGATCTTGAATTGATATTAAAATGTAGGTATATTGGGCTTCCCTGGTGGCGCAGTGGTTGGGAGTCTGCCTGCCGATGCAGGGAACGCGGGTTCGTGCCCTGGTCCGGGAAGATCCCACATGCCGTGGAGCGGCTAGGCCCGTGAGCCATGGTTGCTGAGCCTGCGCGTCCAGAGCCTGTGCTCCGCAACGGGAGAGGCCACAACAGTGAGAGGCCCGCGTACCAGTAAAAAAAAAAAAAAAGTAGGTATAGAAGAACAGTATTATTGGATAAACATGACAAGTAAGAAGTTTAAAAATTCCTAGAAATGTCATGTTTATATACTACCACTTCTCAAAATATCTTTGAGAAGATATTGGGCCAGAGGCTCAATTATACAGAACTGAACCCTTCCTCCTGAAAGGGAGTTGATTTGAATTTTCTTGTGTCAGTATGATAAATATTCATTATATAAGATTTAGGGATAAGGTAGAAATTGACATGGAAACAAAATTGGAAAACATTTTATAATTCTTTGAGATGTAGTATATTTATTACTTACATGATAAGGGTAAGGGGAGTCTATAGATTAACAGTTGCGTTATTTATCTAGTGTGTCAGAATATCATGCTACCATTCTAAGTTTGATTTCCCTATATTCAGTGTTCTGTTGGAGATGAGAATTCGTGTAAGTCAGTAAGCATCCACATCACTTAATGCAATTACATATTTACTTGGCTTTGTAGATGTCATTTATTTTAGCAAAGTAACACACATTTGTCCCTTGGACCTCTTTTCTATATATAGTTTCCTTTTTGGTGATTTCTTCCAATCTAGTGGCTTAAGGTACCATTTATATGTTGATGGGTCTCAAATTTACATGTATCCTGAAACTATGCTCTGAACTCTAGACACACATATACAACTCTTTGTGCTTGGAAATAACAGTTGTTTCCACTTGGATATCTTAGGCTTTTCCTGACCTCTGTGTCACTCTCTTCTTTTCTGCTCTGGTCTTTTTGCTTCATATCATTTTTGCCTACCTATGGTTCTATTGAATAAATGCTTGTTTATTAGTTTGTCTGTCATCTTCATTTGAATGTTTCGTCTGTGAGGGCAGAGACTTTGTTTTATATTACTAGTTTATTACCAGTGACCAGAACAAGGCTGTGCACATATTTGGCCTTCAATAAATATTTGTTTGATAGGTGAATAAATGAATGAATGAATCTCTTGAATATTTTTAAGGCAATGTTAAATGTTGTAATACTTCTTGCCCTGGTTTATACTTTAATATGAATGAAGTTGTTAGATTTTTTTTTTTTTAACTTCTTCCAACTATATTTGCAAATTGTCTTCTCTTTAGTTGTGTAATGCAGGATACAGTGCTCTGGTAAAATCATAATCTTTGTCCTTTATGAGCTTAAAACGTATGAAGTAGAGAAGGGAAGACCAAATACAAAAATAATTATAGTTTAATAAGATCATAGAAAGAGCTGTAGGTATTCAGAGAAAGGGTGGAACACTTCATCTGGATAATCAAGAAAGGCTTCATGGAGGAAATATTATTAGAGTTGAGACTTTGGAATATGGATAAAATGATAGTTGATAAAGAAGGTGAGATAGAAACAAACAACTTGAGCAAAGCCTTAAATGGAAGAAAGGGCAGGACTTATTTTAGGGAATGATATATCTGACTAATGTTTGACCCTGTGTAGGAATGTACTAAAAGGTAACATACTGGAAATGGATGTTGGTACTAAATTAAAGAGGGTGGAAGACTCTTTGAGAGTTATCAGGAGGGGTTTGAACAGGAAAGTGAATTAAAACAGTGTTTTGGAAAGCTTAATCTGGCAGTGACATGTAGGATGAATTATAGTTTGTGAACTTGTGTTTATAAAAAGATTTTAACTGGGGGCTTCCCTGGTGGCGCAGTGGTTGAGAGTCTGCCTGCTAATGCAGGGGACACGGGTTCGAGCCCTGGTCTGGGAGGATCCCACATGCCGCGGAGCAACTAGGCCCGTGAGCCACAACTACTGAGCCTGCGCATCTGGAGCCTGTGCTCCACAAGAGAGGCCGCAATAGTGAGAGGCCGGCGCACCGTGATGAGGAGTGGCCCCCACTTGCCACAACTAGAGATAGCCCTTGCTCAGAAATGAAGACCCAAAGCAGCAAAAATAAATTAATTAATTAATAAAAACTCCTATCCCCCCCCCCAAAAAAAAAGACTCATTTAAAAAGATTTTAACTGTATGCCTCCCCAACTGTTTAGAGTTGTTGCTGATATATATTTGGATTTTGGGAGACAAGTGTATCTACACAAAAGAATAATAGTAAGCAAGATATGAAAGGTAATTAGGAATGTAAGAACAACAGAGTCTGACGAATCAAGGGAAACAACATTTTCCAGGGTAGGAAACATCAGGAAATGGTCTCTAGAGTTTTCAATTGAAAAATCAGAAATTATGTTAGCACTTGAAATCCCTGCACTGTAAAATCGCTGTGTAACTGCTAAAAACAAAGCAAAACAAAACAAATTTTTAAAAAATAAAAATAAAAAATAAAACCCTAAGTAAATCTGCTTATGACTGCTTTTGTGAAAAAGCAGTCTATTTTGTATCATAGATTGTATGTAATGATACTTTTTCATTTGTACTTGTAAGACAAAGATTTCTAATACATTTTTGTTTTAGTTTAAATTTGTCAATGGAAGTAAATGGAATGATAACTTCAGAAAAAGATAATTTTAAAATTATTGCTTTATTGATGTCATCTGACTATAAAAGTATGCTTTATGACAGTTTTAGGAAAGGTATTTTGACTCTCAGTTAAATTTCTCTCAAATTGACATACCACATCTTAAATTGAGCCAACATAATTTGTGTCTTAAAAATGCTTTCCCAAAAGGATTCTCCCTGGAAAGCATAGACCTTCAGAGCAATCTTTAGTATTTGTTTTATATTTTATAATGTTGTAATATTTTTAGGTAATAGATGCACATATTTTTTAAAAGTGGAAACAGTATAAAATAACATATAGGGACTTCCCTGGTGGTCCAGCAGTTAAGACTGTGTGCACCCAATGCAGGGGGCCTGGGTTCAGTCCCTGGTCAGGGGACTAGATCCCACATGCCACAACTAAAGATCCTGCATGCTGCAACGAAGATCCCGCATGCCACAACTAAGACCCAGCACAGCCAAATAATTTTTTTTTTAACATCTGTATTGGAGTATAATTGCTTTACAGTGGTGTGTTAGTTTCTGCTTTATAACGAAGTGAATCAGCTATACATATACATATATCCCCATATCTCCTCCTCCTTGCATCTCCCTCCCTCCCACCCTCCCTGTCCCACCCCTCTACTCTAGGTGGTCACAAAGCACCGAGCTGCTTTTTACTTTTGGTAGTGTATATATGTCCATGCCACTCTCTCACTTCGTCCCAGCTTACCCTTCCCCCTCCCTGTTTCCTCAGGTCCATTCTCTACGTCTGCGTCTTTATTCCTGTCCTCCCCCTAGGTTTTTCAGAACATTTTTTTTTATTTCTTTTTTTAGATTCCATATGTATGTAGCATACGGTATTTGTTTTGCTCTTTCTGACTTACTTCACTCTGTATGGCAGACTCTAGGTCCATCCACCTCACTACCAATAACTCAATTTCATTTTTTTTATGGTTGAGTAATATTCCATTGTATATACGTGCCACATCTTCTTTATCCATTCATCTGTCAGTGGACACTTAGGTTGCTTCCATGTCCTGGCTGTTGTAAACCAAATTAATTAATTAATTAATTAACATATAGTAAAAATCTCGTATGCTCCTATCCCTTAGTCTCCTAGTTCTCCTCCCCTGAGGGAGCCATTATTTGTACATTAGTCCAGGTATCTATACAAAGTGTTCACATTAGTAAGCATATATTTTTCACAAATGATAGCATAGACTACCACACATTCTGTACCTTACTTTTATCACTTAATGTTACCTCTTAGATATCATTCCATTATCTATACTTGTGCTATACCTCTGAGTTCTTGAATTTTCTCTAAAATAGCATAAGTCTTTTCCAGTGGATAAGGCTCCATGCTCCCAATGCAGGGGCCCTGGGTTTGATCCCTGGTCAGGGAACTAGATCCCACACGCATGCCGCAACTAAGGAGCTAGTGAGCCACAACTAAGGAGTCCACAAGCCACAACTAAGGAGCCCTCCTGCCACAACTAAGACTCAGTGCAAGCAAATAAAAAATAAATAAATATTTTTTTTAAATTGCCACTCTTTAACATTTAATCAGAGGATTCTTTGTGAAATACTTATGTTTCCCCTTTTTTATATAAATTTTTATTTTTATTTATTTTTAGCTGCATTGGGTCTTTGTTGCTGTGCACAGGCTTTCTCTAGTTGCAGCGAGCGGGGGCTACTCTTCGTTGCAGTGCATGAGCTTCTCATTGAGGTGACTTCTCTTGTTGCAGAGCACAGGCTCTAGGTGCACAGGCTTCAGCAATTGTGGCTCGTGGGCTCAGTAGTTGTGGCTTGCGGGCTCTAGAGCGCAGGCTCAGTAGTTGTGGCACACGGGCTTAGTTGCTCCGTGGCATGTGGGATCTTCCCAGACCAGGGCTCGAACCCGTGTACCCTGCATTGGCAGGCAGATTCTTAACAGTCCCTAAATTTCAGAACTTTTTGAAGACACAGGGATAGAAGAAATCTGGTAATGAGAAAGTGAGGTGAAAAAAAGTCCCATTAAGGTGACATAGAAGGAGCCTCCTATAAGGAAACTGAGGAGGAGTAATTAGAGAGTATGAAAACCAGGAACATGTATGTGATGAAAACCAAGAGAAAAGAGTGTTTCTAGTAGTGATGAATGTCAAATACCTGAGTCAGGTAGCCTAACATAATTCTAATGAATGAAATGTTTGGGGGAAATTTTTATGTTTCTTTTTCTCATTTGATAAAAAGTATCTTCTAATACTAAGAGGGGCATTTTTTATTCTTTTGATGTTTACAGGGATATGAAGATTGGTTAAGACATAACTCAGATAATGAAGTAAATGGAGCTCCTGTTTATGTTGTTCGAAGTGGTGGCCTTGTAAAAACTAGATCAAAAAACATTCGGGTATGCACTTAGTAAATAATAGAAATCAGTAATATTTTGAAATCACAAATTCTCTGATTATGTTTTAGTTAAAAGTCTGCTCTCCTACATTAAAATATTATGATAGACCACTTGTTTAGAACTCAATAAAATTAAGTCTTTGCCTTTTAAAATCTGTATATCCACTTTTCCCCATAGGTGGGTGATATTGTTCGAGTAGCCAAAGATGAAATTTTCCCTGCAGATTTGGTGCTTCTGTCCTCAGATCGACTTGATGGTTCTTGTCACGTTACAACTGCTAGCTTGGATGGAGAAACTAACCTGAAGGTTTGTACATGCTTATGTTTGAGTGTCGCTCTTGGTGAGCAAAATGTCATTGGATTATCGTAATATTTTCCTTTGGTTAAGGTAATAAAGTTTGACCTGATAAAGGAGAAATGTTTTAAGTTGCTGAAACTTTTTAAAACTTAAGCTTTTTTTTAAAGAAATAATATTATTATACATTTACTGCAAGGGGAGCCTCACATAATTTAGTCAAGTTTAAGAAAAGCGAAAAGTGTTGTTAGGAAAAAAATAATCTTCTAATACGTTGGTGCTTTTTTAGATACAGGACACATTTACATTTTTCTCAATTTTCAGAGTACTAATACAATCAAGGATTTTATTTGATTCACTTTTTTCCCCCTATTGACTTTTTTATAATAAACTTAGAGTAGTAATGACTGTTAACACAGACTTAATTTCCTGGTATGCAGATGTCCTCTGTAGACAGGTAATCACAGTAGCTCCTTTTACTACTTGTTATTTTACATTCTTCTTTCTCTTCTGCCATCTAGCTAAGTGATCTCAGCTACAGAATGCTGTGATTTCATATGTAAAAGAGGTTTGAAATAAATGTTATCTAAAGTCCCATGTAGATCTCGAAACTGTGCGATTTAATTTTTCTTTTTTTCAGACCCATGTGGCAGTTCCAGAAACAGCAGTATTACAGACAGTTGCCAATTTGGACACTCTTATAGCTGTGATAGAATGTCAGCAACCAGAAGCAGACTTGTACAGGTATGGTGTGATAATCACCATGCTCATTTTAAGTTCTGTTTACAGATTTCATTTTTACAATGATAAACGTGCACTGAGATAGTTAGCTAATTGACATTATTGGGGGGAGCAAGGTGGGAGATCAGTTAAAGGGGAAAAAAGCTTAAAGCAGAATTTGCCAGAATTCTAAGCCAAAGTATTAATTCAAAAGCCATGCTTTTATTCACATGTTCTTTCCTATTACCTTCTACTTTGGTATGAATTGGCTTTGTAACTATAATAGTAGTTACAACGGAAATAAGATTATTTCCTTAGAAGAAAATAATCTAATGGTGTGCATGTGTGCGTGTGTGTGTATATATGTGCTCCATGAAGGCAAGGGCCATGTCTTTGTGTTCAATAGGAACTAACTCCTTTTAACATTACAGTTTACTAAATATTAATACAGTGTAAGTCATCTTTCAGTGAGTGCTGTGCTAATTATTGTGGTCTATGGAATGGAAACAACTTTTTATTATTAAAGACTTCCATGAGAAACTACTCATTTTTACTCAGTAACTGCTGATAGAATATAAATTATAACCACATTGTAAAAATTACCCTCAGCTTCTTGTCATATTCTCCATTTGTTGGTTGAAATGTTTTAAAATCTTATCACTAGTCATTGGATTTTTCAGATGTCTTACATATCTGTATTCTGGATCCATATATTTATAATGGAGTTTTCTCTATGTGATATTATAAAAATCTTGCATTTTCATCAAAGTCAAATATGGATACAATATGGAGTTTTCCAATTAACTGTAAAAATTTGGAGTTCTGTGCTTTAAGAGCATTTAAATTATAAGATAGATTTAACTGTGAAGAATTTAGTACTTTAAGAGTTCTCTATTGCTGTTATTTCCAAGTCTCAGACAAGGGTGAATTATTAAAAGATTAGTGTTAAAAACTAGAAAATGATGCAGCATTAAGAAAGCATAAGATTAATATGAGAGAAAATATAACTAATGCTTTGGTGGGTGGTTTTACGTTATTTGGAAAATGGGGAGAAACTTTAAAAATATTTTTTTTTAATAAGAAATAATTCACTGTTAAATATAAGGTATTCCTCTTTATTTTCTCTTTTCCTCTTCCTTACTGAAAGTATATGGTTTTTTTTGTTTTTTTTTTTTTTGGCGGTACGCGGGCCTCTCACTGTCGTGGCCTCTCCCATTGCAGAGCACAGGCTCCGGAGGCGCAGGCTCAGCGGCCACGGCTCACGGGCCTAGCCGCTCCGCGGCATGTGGGATCTTCTTGGACCGGGGCACAAACCCGTGTCCCCTGCATCGGCAGGTGGACTCTCAACCACTACGCCACCAGGGAAGCCCTATGGGTTTTTTTAAATACAAATGTACTTACTACAGAAGACTTTTGTAATAGAAAAGTAACTCATAATTAATTATACCACTACTTTAAAATTTTTATTGCTGTTTTTATTCATTCATTCAACAAATTATTGTTGAGCACCTTTGTGCTCATTATGATAAGTGATAAATAAGATTAATAAGCACAGTTTCCATCCTTGAGGAACTCACAGCTATAAAGATATTTTATATATCTCTAACTGTATTTTTTCAGTTTTACTATACTATATGCTATTTATAAGGGGAATATTGATGTTTAAAATTTTTAATGTCCAAGTAGGAGGAATGCTTAAATGGCTTTATGTAAGATGTAAGATGTAAGATGTAAGATGAATTACGTAGGTAATAAAAATGATGCTTTCAAAGAATTTAATGACATAGGAGCATACTGAAATACAATGTTGAATAAAATGTTATAGAGCTGTAGTCTCATATAATCCCAATTATATAAAAAGACATACGTATGTATGTGTATTTGATAGGTAGTTAAGTAGTTAGAAAAAATAAATAGGTATATAGAGAAAGAAAAACCTAGAGGAATTACATGTCAGAATGTTAGTACTTATTTCTTGGTGGTACGATTTCAGCTGCTTTTTAATCACCTTTTTTGTTCTCCATATTTTCTAATATTTCTTGAAAGAATATGGATTGCCTTTGTGGTTTTTTAAAGTATTTTCCATCTTACTACACAGTATTCTTAATGATCTTTTTTAATGGCTGCATAATAGTCTAAGTAAACGTACTAGAACCTAACAGTTCCCCAGTCTTTCCATAGTTAACTCTTCCATTGTTTTGCTGTTAGAAATATTGCATGACACCTTATTACATATAAGTTCACCAACTCAGAATCCAGTAGTGAGATAGTTCATGATTCCCTCCTCTTTGATACAACTTGTTTACTTGGCTTCCAAGACATCTCCCTTTCTTGATTTTCCTCTTATTTCAGTAGTCCATCCTTCTCAATCTCTTTGGCTGATTTCTCCTCTTCTCTATGACTTCTTGATGTTAGAGTGCCCCAGGACTATCTCAGTCCTCTTCCCTCCTCTACCTATACCTTTCACTATCTGAACTCACTCTTTGTGATCTCATCCTGGCTGATGGCTTTCAAAACCATCTATATGCTGATGACTCCAAATTTATATCTCAATCCCAGATTTCTTTCCTAGTCTTCAGATTCTTATATCCAACTTCCTGTTCCACAATTCCAGTTGGACATTTAGTAAAAAATATCAAATTAATCATGTTGAAAACTGAATTCCTGATCTTTCCTCCAGAAGTTTTTATGCTAACGGCCTTTCCCATTTCAGCTGGTGACAGTCCATCTTTTCAGTTGTTCCGGCCAGAAACCTTGGAGTCAGCCATGACTCCTTCATCCCCGCTCTGTTCACCTCTTCTCACCTCCTCTGCCACATCTCATCCCAATCCATCAGAATATCTTTTTGGTTTACCTTCAAAATACATCCAAAACCTGACCATCTTTGACCCCCTTCTCTGCTACTAAATTGATCCAAACCAGCATTATCTTCTGCTTGGATTACTGCTATCAAAGGCTTCCTTACTGGTTTTTCTGCTTTTACTCTTCTTGCCCTTGCAGTCAGTCTGTACTCACAAAAGCAGCCAGAGTCATCCTTTTTAAATGTAAGTCAGATCATGGCATTCCTCTGCCCAAACCTTACAATGGCTTTTCTGTCTCACTCATATCTTTATAATGATCTTACTGATTGCCTCCATCCCCAACTGATCTCTGATCTAATTTTTGACCCTTCTCCCTCTTGCCTCACCCTTCAGCTACACTGGCCTCCTTATTTTCCCTTGAAAATGCCATATCCACTTCTACCTTTTCACTAGCTGTTCTTTATCTAACTCCTTTACCAACTTCTAGTCTTTGCTTTAAAATCACCTCTTCAGTGAGGCCTACTTTGACTATTTAATACTGTGACTTAATCCTTCTTACCCTCTCCTGCTTTTTTTTAATAGCACATAATACCTTCTAGTATACTATGTAATGTACTTATTTATTATGTTTGTTGCTTATTATCTCCTTCTCCAACTAAATTGTAAACTCAAGGACAGACATCTTTGTGTATTTTGTTCACTGATGTATCCCAAGCACCTAGAACAGATCTGGCATATAGGAGGCCTTACTACATGTTTGTTGACAGTTGAAAAGAATAAATATCTCTATGGACTTAATTTTATGCACTTAAGTTTTTCCTTTTTTTGAATTCTGTGATATATGCAACTAAGATTTGTGTGTGTTACAATTCACTTAACTATTGAATTGAAATACCTAGAACAGAACAGACACTCAATAAATATCTGTTGAATGAGTAAATGAATGATAGAGTTCCACAGTATTACTTAATCAAAGGATTTGAGAACATTTTTATTGCCCATTTATTCATCATATATTGAGTGCCTCCAATAACTGAGGCATAGTGCTAGATATTGGGAATGCAGCAGTAAGGAAACTGTGATAGCTCCTGACTCCTAGAGTTAATAATCTAATACTAGATTATTCCCTAAGAACACAGAGCTGCAAAAGTGGAATTATTAGATTAAAACCCTAATCGAATTTGGCGTTTATTAAACCTACTGACACGTTACTTTCCAAAAACATTGGATTAATTTTTATTGCTATGAGCTAAGTCTAAGTTTATGAGGCTTATTATTGTTTCAAAATGTTACAAGTATTAAGTTTCGTTTTTCGTGTTTTTTTAAATTTATTTATTTATTTTTGGCTGCGTTGGGGCTTCATTGCTGTGCACGGGCTTTCTCTAGTTGCAGTGAGTGCGGGCTGCTCTTCGCTGCGGTATGTGGGCTTCTCATTACGATGGCTTCTCTTGTTGCGAAGCACAGGCCCTAGGTGCACAGGCTTCAGTAGTTGTGGCACACAGGCTCAGTAGTTGTGGCGCATGGGCTTAGTTGCTCTGCAGCATGTGGGATCTTCCTGGACCAGGGCTCAAACCCGTGCCCCCTGCATTGGCAGGCAGATTCTTAACCACTGTGCCACCAGGGAAGTCCCTAGTATTAAGTATTATAGTTTTTAAATTTTTGCTGATTTTGTAGATAATAGTTTTATAGTTTTAAAACTAGTTTTAATTTATTGTTTTACTAGAAAGGCTGAACAGGGAGTTCCCCGGCAGTTCAGTGGTTAGGACTCGGCGCTTTCACTCCCGGGGTCTGAGTTCAGTCGCTGGTTGGGGAACTAAGATCCTGCAAGCCATGCAGCACGGCCAAGAAAAAAAAGGAAGGAAAGAAAAAAAAGAAAGGCTGAACATTTTTCTGTGTTTATTAATTTTTCTCCTTTGAACATTGTCAGTTCCTTCCCAGTTACCTATTAGTTAACAGTGGTTACATTATTTTCCTTTTTATTTTTCTTTAAATAAATTTATTTTTTTACTTACTTAATTTTGGTTGTATTGGGTCTTTGTTGCTGCGCACGGGCTTTTCTCTAGTTGTGGCGAGCGAGGGCTATTCTTCGTTGTGGTGTGCGGGCTTCTCATTGCGGTGGCTTCTCTTGTTGCGGAGCACGGGCTCTAGGTACACGGGCTTCAGTAGTTGTGGCTGGCGGGCTCTAGAGCGCAGGCTCAGTAGTTGTGGCTCACAGGCTCTAGAGCGTAGGCTCAGTAGTTGTGGTGCACGGGCTTAGTTGCTCTGCGGCATGTGGAATCTTCCCAGACCAGGGCTCAAACCCTTGTCCCCTGCATTGGCAAGTGGATTCTTAACCACTGCGCCACCAGGGAAGTCCACATTATTTCTTTTTAGAAAACTTTAACAGCTTATTGAGGAGAGGCTAGAGTACGGTTAAGAAATTATCTCTGCCCAGCCACTGGAAGAAATAAAAACTTGGAGAGTCTTCTGTTTAGGTACAGCCTCTAGCGGGTGCCTATTTCACAGTATTCTCCATAGTCTCTTTCCTTGGCTCCTTTGCTCTTTTTGTTCTTTTTTTAAATTCTTTCTATTCTCTTTATTTTTTGTAGACTCCAACTCATCAGTTCCGCTTCTAGGAATTTTTCCTAACAAAATAATGAAATTCTGCTTTTAGAAATATATCTTGATGCAAATGTGAAAAGATATGTACACTGGCTTGTTTGGGGCTGTATTGTTTAGACTATCCATAAGTTGGGAAGAAACCTAAGCTTCTGTCAGTAGTGAATTACTTAAATAAATTATGCAGTGACCCCAAAATACAATGCTATGTGTGGCCATTAAAAGTAATGATGTGGATCTGTATTTTTTTTTTTTTTTTTTGCGGTACACGGGCCTCTCACTGTTGTGGCCTCTCCCGTTGCGGAGCGCAGGCTCAGTGACCATGGCTCACAGGCCTAACTGCTTCGCGGCATGTGGGATCTTCCCAGACCGGGGCACGAACCTGTGTCCCCTGCATCAGCAGGCGGACTCTCAACCACTTCGCCACCAGGGAAGCCCTGGGTCTGTATTTTTCACAGGACATGTTAAGTGGGGAGAAAATATTACCAACAGTATTTATGGTATGATCCCATTTTTGTTTTTAAGATACATACATATTTATATGGGCATGGAATAAAAGCCTGGAAAACATACCTCAAAATATTAATAATGTTTTATTTGAGTAGTGGGATTACTGATATTGTTGTTTCCTTTTTGTCATCTTTTTACATCGTCTGAATCATTTTATAAAGTATGTGTATTTGAGTGTATTTAGTCTTCATAATCAGTAAAGAATAATAAAGCTCTTTTCCATTTTGAACCAAATCATAGTGTGGGTTTGGAGAAAGGGCTATGGAGAGTACAGAATGAGTTAATCCAGCATGGTACTGGCATGAACAAATACAAGAAGTGCTTTAGAATCAAGGATAACGGGACAGATAAAATGAAGGAGAACAGGTCTCTTGTTGGCATTTGGCTCAGGAAAATCGAAAGACTGACCACACATTATCTCTGAACAGGGCCTAGGAATCACCAGCTGAATTGGCTCTTTGAATCTAAATCCAAAGTTTGAGGCTCAAACCAGAGCTACATAAAATTCCGTTAAGTGGAGATAATTAAAAAGCAGGACTTCCCTGGCGGTCCAGTGGTTAAGACTCCATGCTTTCACTGCAGGGGGCACGGGTTCGATCCCTGGTTGGGGAACTAAGATCCCGCATGCCACGTGGCACAGCAAAAAAATAAAAATTAAAAAAAAAAAAAAGGCAGGGCTTCCCTGGGGGCGCAGGGGTTGAGAGTCCGCCTGCCGATGCAGGGAACACGAGTTCGTGCCCGGGTCCGGGAAGAACCCATATGCTGC